AAAGCAGCAGCAAATAGTTAAAAAACGTTCTTAATGAAATTTGCGGCGTATCACAAATTTGCCTACATAAATATGAAGAGTTCAATACTCTCTCCATTGGTATTAAGGTCGTTCTAAACTTTAGACCGCATCCCCAATGTCCCAAGCTCCAGACCACCTACAAACTCTAACATCAGATCATTTCCTACGCGGGATCCCACTACCTCCCTTACCTGTGTCGAACTCTGAAAATCTCTCACTTATACAATTCTATTAGGTTGGGACTCATGTCTTCAATGACTTCCTTAGTTATAAATTGTTTTTTCACGCTTTCAGAGCTAGAAGTCTTTAAAAAAATTACGGCATCTTCAGCTAAATAAACCCTTTCTTGGCGAAGTTTGACCAGATTCGTAGAAGCATCGTAGAAGTAGAGTTCTTTAGTAGAGGACATCCTAGACGAATGAGGGAGTCAGACCTTTTCTTGTCGAACTAGGGGCGGGTTTGTCGAATCGTCCCACAAAAGAAGAAGAACCATGGGAGTTTCTTGGAAAAAATGCATGTGCTGGAAATAAGAGGGGGCCTTTTGACTTTCTTCTCAAAGAAGACAAGGTCTGAAATGTAATGTTCCCTTGTTTGATCCCAGATACATAAGCTGGTATACAGGTGGGCCAAAGAGCTATAGCTTAATGTGCCTCAGGCCAAAGCTAATATCTATATCTGGTACATAGAAAAAATTTGAAGAGATCATTTACAGTTGTTTATACAGACACCCATGTCCTTCTCAATGTCTGGAATGATCATCTCTTCAAGGCAAATAACACGCCGAAATCGTAATGGGTTATTGCGTGATTGCCGGTATCAACGGGTTGGCCAGATTCCAGGCCGTTTAACTGTAGTGGACAAAGATAGAATTCCAAATTTATCTTGAAAACAATGAAATGTCAGAGTACATTGTACAATATCGTTCGGCTGTGACCAAACACATATTATTTAATATCAATTTATCTACAGCTGAATATTTTAGTACCAGAATTTATCTACTCTGGTCTTTTTAGAATTAATTAGCGAATCTGATAGTATCTTGGACTCTAGAACTTAGGACCTTATCAGCAGGACAAAAAAAGATCTCTAAGATCTGTCTGATTGCCCGTCATTGACCAGATAAAGACTAAAAAACTCCACATTAAATTACATAGTCACATCTTTTAGCATTAGTCCTTCTTCGGCGCCTGTCGCTTTAGCTTACAACAGGGAAGGTGAAGGTGTTTTGTGCATTGATGGCAGGGGTCTCGTTAGCAATATGCAGAAGATCTTCTAAGTCGCAGCGTTTCTTATTCCTTAAATCTATTGGCTAATTAATGAACACACAACAGATCGTTTTCGCTCTCTGTCGGTGTACATTTTCATTTTTTTATTTTTACCCACTAAGCACTTCAGTTAATGAACGCTTCGAGCTAGGTTCAGTGAATAATAAGTAAGGTAAAGCATTCGAGGCCCCCTCGGCGCTCAAAAGCCTGTGACTTCCCCTTGCTACTTAGCACTTTTTTTTTCTTTAAATACATTTCATCATTACCAAACGATATTTCTTATGAGCTTCACCTTTTCAACAACTTTCTTTAAGTTCACAACTTTTGTTAGCTGTTGAACTTTCTTCTTTCTTCAACAGCAACGTCACTGGTTTTATTAATCGATTTGAATATTCATTTAAATTTTTCGTTTGTGTTTTCTTCGGTTTTAATTTTTAAGCTTTTTGGTTTTGTGTAGTCAAAAGACACAATAACACACATTAATTGCTAGTAAGTGACAGAAGGTGCATTAACCTCACAAAATATCAATAATAAAAAAAATTAAAAACTTGAACCAAAACAAAAATTAAACCTCAACCACAACACAGCCGAATATCTCCAAAGTAGTACAATAGCTGTAGCCATTCGACAAGATCACTTTTTTTTAACTTATGCATACATAATTAATGATCGACGTTAAGGTGAAGAAAAAGCAACAACAAAAAAACGCCACTAGCAGTTATCACAATATGATAGGAAAAAGTGAATGTAGTAGTAATTAAAAAAAAATACAAATAAACAAGTTGACGAAAGTGGTGGGCAGATTGCCGTGAGCGTAGAAATTGATAAGAGGGTAAAGGGTTGAGTGATCTTCAAAATCGAATTTTATGTATGAATACATACTTACATACATACATATATGTATGAATATGTAGGCACATGAGTATACCAGTTTATGATTAAACGTATCATTATAGTTGTATTGTGGCGAGATTGGTGTGGGTGGAAGAGGAGACAGGCTCATAAGATTGTAAGTATGCATTTGTCTGTAGAATTGCAATGGAATAATTCACACTTCTCTTAATGCATAGCTTATTAAAAAATAAGTATGTAGTTTTACAATTTTTTGGAGAGAATAGCTAACAGATAAAGCATTAAAAATTGGGGCGAGTCATCTTGTGCTATATGAAAAGGGGGGCCTTTCTGTAATTTCTTTGACACAAAAAAGCGCATATCTAATAGTCTTTGAACCACAGTCGCTTTAAATAGTAGCCCAGTGGATGCTGGACTAGAGTGTTGTCTACTTCGCCTGAAGACAAACACACATAGTAGATGTGCAGTAGTTTCAGAGTTAATATGGTGAAAGTAAATCTATATGAACTCTGACGCGCTCTAAAATAGTGGCTGCTGCCGAATATACAGTGGGGAGCAGCAATGAGTAAACGGTGATTTTTGTTAAAATATTTGCAAGGTTTTTAAAGTAAAACTATGGATCAAGCTTTAACCAAAAGCATATAAATCAAGCTTTCAAATTTTATACGAAGCTTAGAAAAATTTAACAAATTTTCATTAAAATTTTAACTTTTTATTCGGATTTTTTTTTTAGAATTTTAATGGTTATTCATGGAAATGCGTAAATTCCTGGTAACCGCGTAAACCTCGTATATAAACCGATTTTCCATACAAAATCAGGTAAGTTTACGGGGTTTAAATGGTTACGAGGCATTTGCGCGTTTAGATGAATTGCCCTTTAATATAATAAAGTGATTTTTGAGAACTATTTTTTGTGACGGATTTTGCACTTTTTTAGATATAAGCATGAGTTTCTAACGGAATTACACTTGTTATATGAAAAATCCATAAAAGCCGTCAGCAAAAAAAAAAATATAAAAAATCATCGCGATTATGGTTCATTATAACGGGTGATTTTTTTGAGGTTAGGATTTTCATGCATTAGTATTTGACAGATCACGTGGGATTTCAGACATGGTGTCAAAGAGAAAGATGCTCAGTATGCTTTGAAATTTCATCATGAATAGACTTACTAACGAGCAACGCTTGCAAATCATTGAATTTTATTACCAAAATCAGTGTTCGGTTCGAAATGTGTTTCGCGCTTTACGTCCGATTTATGGTCTACAGCGATGAGGCTCATTTCTGGTTGAATGGCTTCGTAAATAAGCAAAATTGCCGCATTTGGAGTGAAGAGCAACCAGAAGCCGTTCAAGAACTGCCCATGCATCCCGAAAAATGCACTGTTTGGTGTGGTTTGTACGCTGGTGGAATCATTGGACCGTATTTTTTCAAAGATGCTGTTGGACGCAACGTTACGGTGAATGGCGATCGCTATCGTTCGATGCTAACAAACTTTTTGTTGCCAAAAATGGAAGAACTGAACTTGGTTGACATGTGGTTTCAACAAGATGGCGCTACATGCCACACAGCTCGCGATTCTATGGCCATTTTGAGGGAAAACTTCGGAGAACAATTCATCTCAAGAAATGGACCGGTAAGTTGGCCACCAAGATCATGCGATTTGACGCCTTTAGACTATTTTTTTGTGGGGCTACGTCAAGTCTAAAGTCTACAGAAATAAGCCAGCAACTATTCCAGCTTTGGAAGACAACATTTCCGAAGAAATTCGGGCTATTCCGGCCGAAATGCTCGAAAAAGTTGCCCAAAATTGGACTTTCCGAATGGACCACCTAAGACGCAGCCGCGGTCAACATTTAAATGAAATTATCTTCAAAAAGTAAATGTCATGGACCAATCTAACGTTTCAAATAAAGAACCGATGAGATTTTGCAAATTTTATGCGTTTTTTTTTAAAAAAAAGTTATCAAGCTCGTTACTAAAATTTACTGGGCTACCAAACTGCATACTCAAAAAATTTCTAAGAATTCAGAATAAAAAGTTAAAATTTAATGAAATATTTTAAAATTTTTCTAGGCTCCGTATAAAGTTATATATGGGGTATTCCATGAGTAAGTGAAACTTTGTGTCCAATTGTAGAGTAGCTTATTGAACATGGAATGCTTGATGAATCAATGCTCAATACCTGAAATTAACGTTTTTTCGAAAAAAAATTTAGTTATATTATTTTATTACACTGTAAATATACTCAAAACTTCAACATTAGAAAAGTAGTTGAATACGACAACATATTTTAATATAGAAGGCTCTGCAAAATCAAGTATTCACAAAGTTATTATTTTTTTGAAGGGGGGAATAAATGTCTCGATCTTTCTGCGCCCCGAAGAAGCAATATTGCATTGAAGAAAAATAGGCATTTAAATTATATAATAGGATAAAATCACTACGGTTTAGCATGTCCAACCCGTGACTAAAAAGTTTTAAACTTCGTATTGCTTAGTTACTACTTTAGGGAGTTTTCTATAATTTCATAACTAGAGTGTGTTTATACTAAGCAGCCCTATTTCATTTCTTTTATTATATTATTGTTGTAAGATTACTGTGGTGTAAACACAACGTTAGCATTAACCTTTACTAATAATCGATTACTTTGTACTATTACTGAACTTTGTAAAACACATCCCTATATTGAATATATAAAATAAAGTTCCTTTCCAAAAGTAAGCTTGAACGTAACACATGGCGTCAGGTGGGGTCAATTAAAATAGTTGCACAACGAAATAACTCAAAAGCTAGAAACGCGCAACCAAAGCTAAGCTATTAAATAAAAATAGTATATACTACGTGTATAAAAAATTAAAAATGGTAGATGAAGGCAACGCTACCATGTCAGAGGCACAGCGAGTGCTATCTATTGCTACTACCATAGCACCTTTGAACATAAGAGCGTCAAATCTGGCGGCGGAATGGAAGGCTTGGAGTACGCAGTTCAAAATATTTCTGCGTGCATCTGCTTTAGATAATCAAACCGAGCAAAGAAAAGTTGCACTTCTCTTGCACCATCTGGGTGCAGAATGTCTAAACATTTTCACTTCGTTTAATGTCGATATAGACAGCGTCCAATATGACGACTTATGGAGCAAAATGGAAATGTATTTCACTCCAAAAGTCAATATAGTAATAGAGCGCCACAGGTTTTTTACAAAACGTCAATCCTCGGAAGAGACAATAAGTCAGTACGCTGCCGCATTGCAAAATCTTAGCAAAACTTGTGAATTCGGGGATATACGTGAAGATCTGGTAAGGGACATTTTTATATGCGGTTTATCACAAAAATACAATAAAATAAAGGAGAGGCTCTTAAGCGAAGGCAACATAAAATTGCATAAAGCGATTGAAATAGCTAATAGCATGGAACTAGCAAAAGAAAATGCAGCCATGATACAACGTGAGCCAACCGAAAGCATACAGGTAGCAGCTTTGAGAAAATCTGCATTGAACTACAAGGAGAAGTGTGCTAGACAGGCTCAGCAGCAAACATCAAGAACGTGTGATAAATGTGGGCAAGTACATAAAACCAAATGTCCGGCAGAAGGTAAAAAATGCTACACGTGCGGAAAATTGAACCATTTTGCAAATGTCTGCTTCACAAAATGGCGTAAAGGAAACATGGGGAATAACGGGCAAAAGAGATATGTGAGAAACGTATACGAAGAGAGCGAGACAAGTGCAGAAGAGGAAGAAAATGAAGATCACGAGTCGCAATTTTTCGTGGGCGGAATACATGTTGAAACTGTCAGGAACAAAAACTTAACAACAAAAACGAATGTGATAGGAGTGAGTAAAATTGTTAGCAGTGGCAGAACTGGTGCGGTGAAAGACTGGAACATTGAGGTGGAGATACACAACGCGAAGCTGAAGTGTCAAATAGACACGGGGGCCCAGGCGAACTTACTATCGATCGAAAACTTTAATAAATTAAATATCGGTAAGCTAGAAAGTAAGATATGTCATAATATTTTAACATTCAGCGGGGAAAGATTGCCTCTACTAGGAAAAGTCAATGTAAAATTGTTGTATAAAAAAGTAAGTTATTCTGCTGAATTTTATGTCCTTAATATGAAATGTAAAAATGTGATCGGTCTTGAATTGGCTATTAAAATGAATTTGGTAAAAATGGTGACTACAATAAGCTGTGAATCAAAAGGCTGCGAGAGCCTGTTACAAAAATATGAAGAAGTTTTTAAAGGATTAGGGCAGTTGGAAAGTGAGTGTCATTTGAAATTAAAGGAAAACTATCAACCAGTAGTAGATGCACCACGCAGAGTTCCATTTGGACTTTTTGAGCCACTAAAAAGGGAACTGTCCAGTATGATGAAGTTAAAGGTTATAGAGCCAGTTAGTGAACCGACCGAATGGGTCAACTCAATAGTTTTAGTGGCTAAGCCCAACGGAGATTTACGTGTGTGTTTGGACCCTAAAAATTTAAACAAGGCTATAGTCAGACCAAGATTTTCCTTTCCGAACATCGATGAATGTAAGTCGCAAATGGCAGGTTCTAAAATATTCAGCACATTAGATGCTAACTCAGGTTTCTGGATGATACCATTAGATATAGAATCATCAAAGTTATGTACATTTAACACGCCTTTTGGGCGTTACCGATTTCTGAGATTACCGTTTGGTATCAATGCAGCGCCGGAAATTTTTCATTCAGAAATGATTAGACTATTCGGCCACATTAAGGGTCTAATAATATATATGGATGATTTTTTGATCCATGCTCCGAACGTTCAAAAACATAATGCCATTTTAGAGTCAGTTTTGGAAAGGGCACAAAGTGTTGGGCTAAGGTTCAATAAATCAAAATCGAAATTTTTAAAGAAGGAAGTCAAATTCGTTGGACACATATTTAGTGAAAAAGGCGTTAAGCCAGATGAAGAGAAAATTAAATCTATAGTTGAGATGCCGGTACCAAAAAATGTAAAAGAATTACAGCGCTTTTTGGGAATGATTAACTACTTGGGTTGTTTTATTGATAGTCTGTCAGCAAAAACGAAATATTTACGAGACCTTTTAAAGAATGATGTAGTATGGCATTGGGACAATAAACAAGAGGAAGAATTTCAAAATTTACTTAAAGAAATTACAAATGTACCGGTTTTGACCTACTTTAATCCTAAAAAACAATTAGTCATGTCAGTCGATGCATCCAAATATGCTGTTGGAGCAGTCATTATGCATGACAGGAACCCTGTTGCCTATGCATCTGCTTCACTAACTGAAACACAAACAAATTATGCCCAGATCGAAAAAGAGCTCTTTGCTATCCTATACGGATGTACACGCTTCCATCAGTATGTTTATGGACGTCATGTCCTTGTAGAAACGGACCATAAGCCGTTGGTTACACTTGTCAACAAACCTTTGTATAAGATTCCCGCGCGACTGCAAAGATTCATGCTCAGATTATTAGCGTACAACATTACTGTCGTTTACAAGCCCGGAAAGGACTTGTTTATTGCCGACACGTTATCCAGAGCGCCACTTAAAGATTATGCACTGACGGAAGTGGACAAAGATATTGATATTCACTGTAATTTAATTATTTCGCAAATTGCTTTGCCAAGTAGTCACTTAGATGAGTTTAGAGAGGCAGCAAAAACAGATAAAATTTTTCAAAAACTCTTGTATTTTACGAAGAATGGATGGCCCGCAAATAAAAAGCGAATTGATAAAGAATTGATGCCTTATTATCAAGTTAAAGATGAGCTTGTTGAGATAGATGGGCTATTGCTAAAAAATAACAGAGTTGTTGTACCAAAAAATCTTAGACCGAAAATTTTGTATTACTTACATGAGGGACATATGGGTATACAGAGATGCCAGAATTTGGCTAGAAACTCTGTGTACTGGCCTAATATCAATAATGACCTCCACAATGTAGTCTCCAGTTGCGAAATTTGTCTAAAATTTCGTAAATCTAATCCTAAACAAAAGTTGTTGTGCCATGAAATGGTCAACATTCCTTGGTACAAGCTGGGTGCTGACTTGTTCGAATTTGATAAAAAGACTTACTTGTTAGTTGTTGACTACTACTCAAAGTTCATTGAATGTGAAATTTTAAGTACGGGGTATTCCAGCACCCAGGTTATAATGAAACTCAAGTCAATTTTTGCCAGACAGGGAATACCGGCTGTGTTCATAACGGATAATGGCCCGCCTTTCAGTTCAAAAGACTTTGCACAGTTTTGCGCAGATTGGTGTATTGAACACATTACTTCCAGTCCTTATATGCCAAGATCAAATGGTTTAGCAGAAAGATCTGTTCAGACAATCAAAACAATGTTGTACAAATGCAAAGAAAAAGGAACAGACCCATATACTGCGCTTCTGCATTATAGAACAACACCCAAAGACGATCTTCCAAGTCCATCCGAGTTACTGATGTCGAGAAAGCTGAGAACCAAATTGCCATCACAACAAGAAAATTTAAAATCAAAATTAGTTGATGTTAATGAGTATAGACGACAAATAAACAAACAAAAGATTAAAATGTCACAAAATTATAATACGTCCGCAAAAAATTTGAAACCAGTAAATCCGGGAGAGAAAATTTATTTTAAGAAAACACCAACATCAGTTTGGTGCCCGGGTACAATAATAAAAGATTTAAAGGAGCCAAGGTCATTCATGGTTCAAGACCCTGAGGGTGTGGTCTACAGAAGAAACCGAGAGCACATATTAAAGCCGGTACTGAAACGGAGTATTGGGGACGCTTACGCTAATGGGGGAGATAAAGAAACCACCGCTTTTGATTCACAGCCTCTTGAAGGCACCACGATAGAATTAACTGATAATGCTTCCGCTGTTAGAACGAGGAGTGGAAGAAAGATTGTACCCCCAACCCGATTAAATATTTAATACTTATGTATATAAATTCAAACTTTTCGTTTTATAATCTAAATTTATATTTGCTGTATAATTCAAAAAGCCTTTTATACTACATGAATTAATTTTAATGTTAAGCCATACACATAGCTTTCTAGGAAAGAGAGATGTTGTAAGATTACTGTGGTGTAAACACAACGTTAGCATTAACCTTTACTAATAATCGATTACTTTGTACTATTACTGAACTTTGTAAAACACATCCCTATATTGAATATATAAAATAAAGTTCCTTTCCAAAAGTAAGCTTGAACGTAACACAATTATAAGTACCTACTTAAGAGATTTTGAAACGTTTTATCGTGTCCCGCCCGTGACAATCATTTATAATTTTTTTCTAATGATGCCTAACAATAAAAAAATAAGTTTAACGTTTCAAACCTATGTTTAATGCCACAAAACTCTGAAGTACAGGTTGACTAAACACCATAATACTGTTGGTGGGCTAAGCGATGTAGTAAAAAATTTCGCGTGGCCAGCTCGAAAAGTCAAGATAAGCATTACTATCTTAGAGACGCCAGAGAATTCTATGATGATGGTTGCTTAACAACAATTAAAAGTCAATATTAACAATTACCTGAAAAGTTCCAACCAAGAAAATCTAGAAGTTCGCGAAACTTATAAATTCAATCCAATAAATAGCCTTTAAGTGACAAAGATATACATATGTATCTGCTTACAAGTATTCTAATGCAGATAACTTTTCGGATTAGACATCGATACACAAGATCTTTTCTGACGTTCTATGGTTTTAAGGAATAGCTAAATTTGAGCATGATTTGTCCATGAAATCAGTTTCCAAAAATAACTCAACTCGAGCCACTCTTAAGCCGGTTACTCAATGTCTGGTCAACACTAACAGCAGGTTAGACATCTCTATCGACGTGATAACAGTAGTCGATATACATGTTTAGCCTGTAGTTAGTATTAGTCAGACATACATAGCTATTCTAAACAAACTTGAAAATCATTAAGGCACATTCGAAATTTCGTTGCAATCAAATGCACCGTGCAGAAGTGCATTAGGAAAATGCATATAAAATTTCATGCGTTTGCAAATAATCCTTTCTTCCATGCATTTTAATACATCAATCTGGCGACTTCTAGCTTTCGTTTGGTATAACTATTGCCCCTAAAATAGATCCTGGGGTCAGCAGTATATCGTGCGTCTTACAATGACTCCACTGTCATAAAAGTAGGTCAATTGATCTTGTATTTGACCTCTAACATTTATCATACCTAATCTCTTTGATATGGATCTCACTAGAAGCTTCCTTTCATGAAGAAAATCGTACGTGTCCCACCCGTGACAAAAGTTGTCCCACCCGTGACAGGAGAATTTTGAATTTTTTAATAATAAACAAATAATTCTTATTATGGTTTGTGCTTTGTTGGGATTGCTGGTTCTTTTCTGTATAGTAAAACATCTAATCCAGATAGAAATGTTAAGTAAATTCACAGACTTTCCTTAAAATATATGTTCTCCAAAAAGCAGTGTCTTTTCTTTGTCCTACCCGTGACGGAAGAAACAGCTCAGAATTTTCCAATATAAAATCAAGTTGGAATATTTTTCGTATTTGGTAATAACTCGTATATTAGTGAACTAGGTGTAGCTTTATCAAAATGTAGAATTGCTTAGTACTTTATACTTAAATTAAAAAAGAAAAACTATTTTTGCTGTACAAATGTCCCACCCGTGACGATGGAATACCCCATATGTTATTTTGGTTAAAGAATGAACTATATTTTTATGAAAAAATAACAAGCAAATTTTGACTTCAAAAACCTTGTAAATATTTAAATCACCGCGTACTCATTTCTACTCCCCACTGTATATAGATTGCTTAGAACATCTTATGAGATAGCCGATGCAAATGCGCTTAGCACATCATTTGACTTTCTCTTATCGACGTTCACTTCATGATCGCTGAGTGGTTCTTTGGTAAACAAGAATGCGGCTTAGTTAACCGAAGCTGAAGCCACAATGTCTTCGACTTCGTTATTAAGAAGCAGGGCTACCCATATTGACGCTCGGTTGTACTCTAGAAGCCTCTCCGAGATTTCTGCTGGGTTTGGTAGCTGTCATTCGCGAGGAGATACCCCGGGCTTCAATTACTTTTCGGCGAGCTCCTGGTTTGACTTCGCCTACTGTCGTTCCAGTTGCAGGCAAGTTTGTACATTTGTAGATTAACGTTCCCCTGGAACCAGCTAACGCCTGCATATGTTGGGGGCAGTTCACAGTTGAATAGATTTTTTTTTTTTGCTCATGAGGCTTAAATCTACTCCCCTTCTATGGAACAAAATGTTCTTTATTCCTTATAAGTTTGTTGCTTAAGCCTTTCGTTCTACATGGTTATGCATGTGTGTCAATAAGTAGTTGGCGCCAAATGTGTTAACTGACCTCAATCTAAACTTTATTTATTTGCTATGTGTATGTGTGTTAGATTTACTCTAAAGATGGCGCTCGAGACGCATTTAACATATTCTTGTAGTTAAGTTTACAACCAATTTTCATTGTGACTTGGGTATTTATACAGTTATGTAGTAGGTGTTAATGACACCCTGTGAAATTTTTAAATTAACCGACATTTTGTGTGTGTAACTATAGTTGCGTTTTTTTACTCATTTCCAGTAAAATCCAGTAAAAGTTTTTACGAATTTTCATGTTTTGGCGTTTTCGTATGCAAAAACTTGCAAAGTAGGGGAAATTGAGAGAGCGAAAAATGACAGCTGAAGTTGCAAGTTTTTACTGGATTTTACTGGATAAATTTTTACTTGTAAGAATTTGCCAGTACGAAAAACAGCTGATCGCATGTTGCTGTATGAAATTTAAACTAATAAGGAAACTGTTTGTGGATTTTTATTGTGGAAATTTTCAAAACAAACATATTTAAATATAAAATATATCGTTTTATTGGGAATATGCTGCGAATAAACAACCAATTTATCAGCTGTTCATGAAACTTGCAAATTATTACTGGAAAAGCGTTCGCGTACTTTTTTTGCAAATTTTTTCTATGAGAGCGAATTCTTAGAAATAAAGTTACTGGAGAGTTACTGGCAAGTTACTGGATAATTTGTAAAAAAACACAACTTATTTGAGATGCATTTGAGAATCAGTCCATTTCTCAAATCTCAAACGTTGGTTCTCAAATGCATGTCAAAGAACCGTTAATAGCGTTCTCGAACTAGTATGGAATTTTAATTTATTTTGAAATTGTAAAAATTGAATTCCAAATTTTTTTTTTCAAACGTGAGTGGAGTGAACGAAATGGAAAGGTAGATGAGTTGGAAGGTCTTCTCCGAGATTTACAGTTCAATCGTGCAGTTAAAAACTCCATTATTTTTCTGCACAATTCCTTTTCAGGTCTTTAATCGAAAACGGCTACAGCAAACCATTGGAGTATAGAGGATAAATCCGCTGCGCTATTCTTTTCACTAAAATGACCAGCAGCGGAAAACTTGCAGGCTGTTCCCGAGTGTGAAAGAGACATCTAAAATGCTTTAATGAGTGCTGTGGAAAGACGTTATGGTAGCGAGCACAGCCGAGAGATTTACCAGATGGAACTCGAGAAACGTTACAAAAAAGCCAATGAAACTTTGCAAAAATTCGCCTCCGATATTGAGAGCTTGGATCATTTAGCAATTTGAGCTGTATCTAGTGAACACCTCAAAGGGTTAAAACTCCAACGATTCACTAAAGGAATATGGGACACGTTTAGCAAGCGAGCGACCAATGTAAATCCAAAGCCAACATTTGCAGAAACTGTCTCGTATGCTCAGACTCACTAAACGGCAGCACTCCCAACTAGAGCAGCTTATAAAGCCTATAGATTGCAGGTAGAAATCCCGGACATGGCAAATGAAATTCTAAAGAAATTAATCCTACTACTGGACGAAAAAAGGGAGCCAGGTCACTTCGCCCGCGATTGCAGCACAATTTCCAACAGGAACAACAACTCAGCAGGACACAAACGCAGGGCTGAAGAAGGTGAACCAAATCCAAATAAGTCGGTAAACTCACACGAGCCAGTAGGAATGTGGGCGCGCTGGCTCCCGCAATTGAATACCCCATAATCTCCATATCACAAATAGGCAGAAAAGTCAGCAACGTCACTGTAGGTGGATAGGTGGACGGGGAAGAGCGACTACTAACTGTGGATACAAGCGCATCGCATTCCATCAGTCGATCTGATTTGATCATAAGTTGGTAAGGCCATAAGACCTGCAGGAAGGCTGAGAACAGCAATTGAGGGCACTGAGGAGTTTTAGGCGAAGTAACATGCAAAGTCGCAATCGAGAAGGTTGCAATATTACACAATTTTATAGTGGCGAAAATTGTGGACGCAGGCATCAAGGCATCAACGTCGACATGGTGTATAACATTATCGAAGTGGAACTTAGATTTGGTTATTATAGCCCATACAGCAGCAAGCGTGTGATCCTAGAGGACCCAAAAAAAATTTCATCTTCAGTTCGAGTACGTAATGAGTTCAATGCACCGACCAAGCTTCGATGAGGAGCTGTAGTGGGACAATGTCAAGAGGTGGAGGCCATCATCAACTGAGAAGAGGTACTTGAAAGCGATTACATTAGCGACAATGGCATTGCTTAAGACATTAATGCATGGAAGGAAGGCTCGATAGGAAATCACCAGCGTATCGCTAAGGAACTTCTCCGCAGATACTTCAACATAACCGACAAGGATGGTAATAAACCAGGCAGAACTAATGGTGATCCCGTTTCTAGCAAAAAATGTTGCCTTTTGGTTGCCCCTTTCTCCCTTCGTGTTCGATTCTAAATTAAAGGCAAAAAGTCAGAAAATTGTGTGTGCGTTTCTTAAAATGTCACATGCTTTGTCAGGGGAGATGGTTGCCGGGGAAGGGCAACATTTTTTGGAAGAAATGAAATCACCATAGCTTTCTGAAACATCGCATTGATATTGTCAAGGCATTTCGAAATTGATTTGCTTA